TAAATTAAACTTATTATGTAGTTATGTTAACATACACGAAATAACATACGCAGCAAAAAATTTGAAACGAGAATTTTATTATATCAAAATTTAACATTAAAAACATTTTCTTCAGAATTAAAAGAACCCTGAGGGACAACAATAAGATGCATGAAGCCAACCACATTAAGTGAGGCTTTGCAATTTGTTTTAGAAGAAGGTAATGCTCATTATTTGCAAAATTCTTCTGGCAATTTTCAAAATCAAAACCCTTCTCGCATTTTCCAAATTCAAAATTCTTCTCGAAATGTACCAGTACAAAATACAAAGATCAAATTTCCAATATAATAACAATAATTATGTTCCACCGAATCAAAATAAAAATTTTTCAAATAATTTTAACACACCTAATAATTTTTTCTGCAAACAAAAAATTATTTTCCGTCTTAACCTTTTAATATAAATTTAAGACCCATACAACGTAATTACTCAAGTAATGCCCAAGTTTTGGGACAGAATTATCAAAATAAGAATTCAAATGTATTTAAACCAAATCAAAAAACAAATTTACCAAAACCCTACACCTATATCAGTATCAATTAGGAATACTGCACAAAATTATTCGAGACAAGGACCTTCGAATTATTTTAGAAATTTGGCGGGTCAGGCACCAAATTTTATCTCCGAAGAGTTATTTAACTCTTAAATAGAACCTCTATATAATTCAATGATTGAAAACCCTGTAAATCAATATATTAATAAATATAATGATCATGAAGAAGTTAATGATAATAAAGGTCAAACGCCAAATTTTCGGTAAAGGCCTCAGAACAAAATAACTAGCAACAAAATCTCGCACATATTTCAATAAATTGTGCGGATTTAAGTAAATTACCCTATATAATGTAAACATTTTGGTGGATACAGGATCTTAGAAATCATTTATTAACCCTGAAGTAGCTGAACGATTTTACCCAAATGATATAATAGATGAACCATTCATTTGTAGTGACTACAGTTTTCCAAAAATCAGCACATACACTTAGTGTAAATATAAATGCTTCTAAAATTTTTAATCTAAATAATAATGGAAAATTAAAATTCTTTTTATTTAAGGTTTACAATGTATTTAATGGCTTAATAGGCTTAGATATTATTAAAGTATTGCAAGCAAATATATATTTTCAACAAAGATGTATTGTTACCCCCATTTGCAAGTATACCATTTTATTATCATGTTGATGCTTCCAATTACTCTAACAATAATAACATAGTTTCAACTGAACCCAGAACTCAGCAAATAATTAAAATAAAGACAATTTTGGTAGAAAAATTTGTAGAACAAGAAATTTTTAATTTAGAAATAAACAATATTGATTCATGTAATAATAAAGATGCAAATTCAAACCAGATTAAAACAAAACCTAACAGTTTAGAAATAGCATCCTTGGATGTAAACAAACGTGTTGTAAATAAAATAATTCAACAAAAGTTAATTGAGTCATATCCTAAATTGGATCAAAAAATAGATAAAGTTCAAGTATTTAAACAATAGAAAGTTTTCTAAAATAATTTCATATATTCAAAAAGAATTTGCACGAAATAAAATTAAAAATATAATGAAAAAGCCAAGAATTTATAAATGTAACAGAAAGAGAATAAAATTTAAAAAATATACAAACTTTAATAGAAAAAGAACAAGATTCAAAAATAATTTTTACTCTAACAGAAATAAAACTAGGTTTAAAAAATTAAAATTACACAAAAATTTCGAAACACCACTAGAAAATTAAAACTTTGAAATTTATACAAAAGAGACCAAATCCTTTTGGGATAGCTTAGATGATATAATAAATGAATCAACAAATTATAACAATCCTCCCGTTACATTTGATCATAACCCTTCTAACAGAAAACTTAATACACCACCCCCATCTACTTCAAAACTCCCTGAACTACATGAGAATATATCTAATAGAGAAATAGACGACATATCCATGATCGTAAATTTAGACGAAATCCCAATAGTGGACATAAACATACCAAAAGACAATGACAAAAATAGTAAAAATAATCAAACATAATCAAGATTTATTAGCTAGTAAAATTGATACAATAACCATATTGGTACAAGACCAATTTAAATGGGAAAATAGTATTTGTATAAAAGATACAATTATCCAAATTATTAATATGTATGAGTTATTAAATTCAATACTGCAAGATATTGAAAACTCGATATCATTTGCACAACTTGGAGTATTACATCCTAGCATAATTACAATCAAAGATTTATTCAAAATTTTGGAAACCGTATTTAAAGATTATAATAAAAAAGAAATACCAGTTAGTTTAAGCTTAAGTAATGTATTATTTCTGCAAAAGATTATAAAAATATCCTGCTTTCTTTCTAATAATAAAATAACATATATTGCATATTCCAATAACTATACCTGTAGATTAAACCCTATATAATTTATATCCTATAACTATTTTGAAAAAGGTCAGTTCAAGGCGATTAACCCGGAAAATAAATATGTTGTACAAAATAAATTGTACTATGCTTATTCGAGTAACTCCTGCACTAAGATGTCCAGCCAAAATTACATTTGTGACCCGACCAGTCTCAGAAAAGTAAATCAGAACAGCTCTTGCGAGATCCAACTTCTAAACTACGAAACCACCTTCACATGCCCACACGTATCCACAGCTGTATCACGCCCTTCATTCACGAGGTTAGAACAAACGAATCAATAGATTTTGGTCCTACTCAAAGAAATTACGCTGACCCTTAAATGTAATTCTCAAGAAGAAATAATTAAGCTGTTCCTTTCTAGCAGTAATTCCCACAAATTGTCAAATTAAAACTTTGAAATTTATACAAAAGAGACAAATTCCTTTTGGGATAGCTTAGATGATATAATAAATGAATCAACAAATTATAACAATCCTCCCGTTACATTTGATCATAACCCTTCTAACAGAAAACTTAATACACCACCCCCATCTACTTCAAAACTCCCTGAACTACATGATAATATATCTAATAGAGAAATAGACGATATACCCATGATTGTAAATTTAGACGAAATCCCAATAGTGGACATAAACATACCAAAAGACAATGACAAAAATAGTAAAAATAATCAAACATAATCAAGATTTATTAGCTAGTAAAATTGATACAATAACCATATTGGTACAAGACCAATTTAAATGGGAAAATAGTATTTGTATAAAAGATACAATTATCCAAATTATTAATATGTATGAGTTATTAAATTCAATACTGCAAGATATTGAAAACTCGATATCATTTGCACAACTTGGAGTATTACATCCTAGCATAATTACAATCAAAGATTTATTCAAAATTTTGGAAACCGTATTTAAAGATTATAATAAAAAAGAAATACCAGTTAGTTTAAGCTTAAGTAATGTATTATTTCTGCAAAAGATTATAAAAATATCCTGCTTTCTTTCTAATAATAAAATAACATATATTGCATATTCCAATAACTATACCTGTAGATTAAACCCTATATAATTTATATCCTATAACTATTTTGAAAAAGGTCAGTTCAAGGCGATTAACCCGGAAAATAAATATGTTGTACAAAATAAATTGTACTATGCTTATTCGAGTAACTCCTGCACTAAGATGTCCAGCCAAAATTATATTTGTGACCCAACCAGTCTCAGAAAAGTAAATCAGAACAGCTCTTGCGAGATCCAACTTCTAAACTACGAAACCACCTTCGCATGCCCACACGTATCCACAGCTGTATTACGCCCTTCATTCACGAGGTTAGAACAAACGAATCAATGGATTTTGGTCCTACCCAAAGAAATTATGCTGACCCTTAAATGTAATTCTCAAGAAGAAATAATTAAGCTGTTTGGAACCTTTCTAGCAGTAATTCCCACAAATTGTCAAATTATAACTGAGGAAGAAACCATTGTTAATGCTGAGTCAAATTCATTCGAAAATTAACCAATTCTATGTCCCAAAATAGATGACCAAATTGCTGAAAAAGAATAGTCTATTCCCAGTGTCAAATTGCAACCCATCAATCTAGATGACTTTCAAACTCTACGAGAAAACATGATTCAAAATCAACCAAATTTCGAATCCAAAACCATTCCATTTGTACCAACCTCATGGACTATTAATATTTATATTATATTAGTTTTCATCCTTATCATCTTGCTATTTAAAAGATGGAAGAAACTTAAAGAAAATCCAAGAGGGACAGAAGAAAGTTTAAACCTACAAGATGTCCATCTTCCTCGTTAGCCCTCGGAACCTAGATCTTCAGGGGGAGGAGTTATATCACCCATACTATAGAAGAATATATAGAAGATACGATTTTGGAAAGTTAGCATTTTAGAATAGCTTGTTTATATAAAAGTAGTTTATTCAGTTAAGAAAAAGTTACTATTTAGCATTCAAACCATCAACATATATATTTATTGTATTTTAAGCAAAATAAAAGTTTTTAAAAAATAATTTTCGGTTAGAAATTTCATTTCTCGTGTTTATGATGCTTTAACCTTCCCCAATTATTAATGCTATAAACTTAAAATTATATAAATAACCTAAAAAGGATTCATTTGACAAATTTATTTGTTTGAAATAATCCAAGAATCCTAACTGATATTAATTCCCAACTGATTTTAATCTAAAAATCCTTTTATGCTTAAAGTTACCTTACTGTTGACAGTTTTAAATGTTTGTTACTCTTTCAAATAAAAGTTTTATAATCGAAAAATATCCTAAAATCATAAATTATAAGTAATCTAATTATATATGGACTTCAATCAATATTCTCTACCGGGCGTTTGCATATAGTAACCACCAGATATTTTTTCACTTAACCTGAATCCTTTAGTACTAAGAATTTGAGTTGTACTTTCATTGTACTTTCAACGAGGAGTCTTGTTTTTTGTTTGAAAAATTTTACGAAAGGCTCACTATAATAGCTTCAATGAATATCCTAGATAAATGTGTTTCGCTAACGTTAAAGAAAGTCCTTTGATTTTCGCGAGGACGGGGTTTGTACAGGTTCGTCTAACATTTTCGTGGTTTCCGTTGGGCTTGTTGCGGCACTATCCGGTGACGTCATCTTGCCGCTAGAAGGTGTAGGGACCTGCAATAATAATAAAAACATGATAAATCAATAATTATATATAAAGACAAAGTAGGCTAGTCCTTTATTAAAAAGTATGTAAGAATTACAATTAAATTAAGATACAGTAAACTGCTTTAATATCTTTTTCTACTAGCGTCTGGAAAAGTCCACTTTTCCGCACTTATTTTAGTGTTGAAAAAGTCACTTTTCCGCACTAGTTCGGAAAAAACTTTTATCCGCACTAGTAAATTAGTTAAGTTTTTGGGGAGTAAACTGACATTTGAATATTTAAAATATATATTTGTATGATTGTAGTTTACAGAATGACTGAAAAATTAAGAAATTTATTAGAATTTTGCTATAATTTTTAATAAAAAAAACGTATGTTTCAGTAATTTTTTAATGGCACTGGTATAAGCTTCATCAAATGAATGTCAAATAATAATAAATGTCTGACATTTTTTATTTGTCACTTTGAATCACCGTAGCAACAAAGAAAAAATAAACCTGTCAGTCAAAACACTACCATGTCAAAACCAATTTTACTGTTGTATCTTTTTCTAGAAGATAATTTTTCATGGATTCTTCAGACGAAGATTTGTCAGAGTCAGTTTTGGAAGCGGCTAGAACTGTAAACTTGGATCTACTACCATCAAAATCCCGTTACAGGTATGAAAAGGAATATATTTTCTTTGAAAACTGGTGCTAGAATAAGGAAATTAAAACTTTTAAAGGATACTTTTTTGGCTTATTTCGCTGAAATTTTCAAAATATGCAAGCCAAACACTCTTCGGTCCAGGTACTCAATGTTAAAAAGTGTAATTAAACTCAAAAAAGACGTTGATTTAAGTTTTTCAAGGTTGCGACATATATAAAAAACAAAACATTGGATTTTAGAGCAAAAAGGGCAAACATTTTCTCAAAAGAAGAAATTTTTAAGTTTATAAATGAAGCGCCTGACAAAATTTATCTTCATATAAAAGTCGCTACGATTTTTGGTTTGGCGGGCGCATGTAGGCGAGAAGAATTAACAAAGATGTCTTTAGATCATATTGATGACAAAGAAAATATTGATAAATATCCCAGACAAAAAAGTTATCTGAAGCTTCCAAATCCTGAATTATATACGGGCTACAGTTTCCGACGTTCTGCCGCCACAATGCTTGCAGATTCCGGAGAAGGAATAACAAATATTAAACGCCTCGGAGGTTAAAAATCTTTTAGCGACGCAGAAGGTTATGTAGAAAGTTCACCAAGTTTCTAAGAGGGCCTATCGAATAAAATATTAAACTTCAATGAAGATGTCGCTGGCCCTTCCACTAGTCAGCAGCTGTCACCAGTAAAGCCTTCCAAAATGACCTCCTCCATTTAAGTTCCCATCGTCACGGTTGCAACAATTAGTGATGATAAAGCAGTGGAAAACCGAAATCTGACTTCATTGGAAAACATTTTAGCCTCTGCAATTAATTTGCAGAATGCTACAAATTGTACGCTCAATATTAATATTAAGAATAATTAATTTGTTGATATGTATTTAATAATAAGTGTTTCTTTATGTTAACTTATGGTTTTTTTTCGCACGCTAGTAGAAAAAATAGCCGAATTCCGCTGACGCGTCGTTCGGCCCCATCTGCAATCGCGTGCGAAAAAGTATTATTTTCCGCACTTGTTAGGTAAACTACTATTGTTTTTTGCGTATTCAGTTCAGTAATAATCACAAAAACGGAGTGTATGAAACAATGAAAATGGGTAGCTCGATTTTCATGCCCACCTTCGATGACAAAGAAGATATTAAACAGATTTATTAAATAAAAACCATACAAATGCTTGAATCGATAAAAAGGCTAAATACGGTGTAGCTGGGTCAGTTGTATAAATACGTACACAAAAGGATATTGCGCAAGAGAACCAAAATGTGTAAAGTGCGCAGGCAAAAGTGCACTAAATTAATAAATATAAAACCAAAATAAGTGAATTGCAGGCTAGAACATCCCGCGAACCATAGAGAATTTGAAGTATCGAAAGAATACCAAAAACGCCGCACAACACTAATCAACAAATAGCTCAAAAAAAGAAAAGGTTTCAAAACAATACACACCTCTCACTGAACAAATATCCTATATACAAACGTTGAACATAAGAAGTAATAAACGAAGAAACTACTAATAAACTACTATTGTCAATCATGGTTAAAATGGAACAAACATTTGAACGATTTTTTTGAAGAATATCACGTATCAGTACCATTCACGTCGGAAGGCTTTAAATAAACAAAAAGAACATCATAATTGTAATCTGGAATATAAATAGCAATTTAAAAAACCTGTAGGAGTTACAGGTAGTTCTTGATATACAAAACATAGATATTATACTTCATATCTGAAACACATTTAACCAAAGATTCTTATATTAAATTTAGTGCAGTAATTGGTAAAAATAATTTAAATTATTATAAAAACAAGCGTGCAAATGCTAGAAAATAAAGTAACTAGCATAACAATGAAAACAAATCAAATAATTAGAAATTGACCATGGCAGCAATATATTGTCCGCCGAAATATAATACGAAAAATTAAACATTATCTTAATATTTTAAACAAATTAGGAAATAAATTCATTATAAGAGGGGACTACAATGCCAAATCCCAAAGGAGGGGATGTAGAGTAACGACAACCAAGGTCAAAGAACTGCATAAAGCAGTAACGGAAATTTAATTGCATTTACAGGAAAATTTTACACCTCTACTTTTCAACCAATAAGATGCCTTAATTTTGACTAGTCACCATGGCAACTAAAAATATTTCCGGAATTTTTTTTCGAGGCGCCACGATATTTAAGTGAAAAATTTTGACAGTTGAAAACGTAACCATATGATCTACAACCATTAAATAATGTAGATATACCTGTGAATAATGCAAAAATTTCTATAAGAATTAACATTATTATTTATTATTCGCTATAAAATTTCATTAAACAGAAAACACAATTTTTTTTAATTATTATGCATTAACAAATTATATTTCAAAAAACGTAGAATGTACAAACATAGTAAGATTTTATGGTGAATAGGAAAGATACGAATTAATTAGATTTCTGTATTTTAAGACATATATGTAATATTTTGAAACACTTTTGTTCAAATCTCTTTTAGGCAAAAGACCATATTTACTTAACATCTTCAGCAGACTTTCTTGTAGTCTCGTAAACAAACCATTCGACTCTAACGCTTCCTGGTCGCAATCTTCCATTTAATTCGTTAAATATATTAATGTTCGATGACATATTTTTACTTGACTCTACTCTTTACAGTATTTACATAAATTGTACTTTTCAAAGCATTCCATTTTTCTCAAATTGTTTAATGCAAATGCTTACAAGAAATGTTTTACATAAGAATATCTTTGTTTGCTGGTTTACTATACAGTAACTCAATGTAGTTTACCAATATAAACCTTATCTGTCAAAAGCATGGCCGCCTATTTATCACGGCCACCTACTGCGCAATAAACCATGTTAATATTAAATTTTTTACATTAGGTGTTATGGATTACTATAACAAAAAATACATTTCTACCACCTTTAGTGACCTAAAATTATGAAAGTGCGATAGACTGAACTAATACCAATCTGAGTTTTAACATTTTTACAAATTTGGCCGACCATATTAATACGCAGCGAAAATTAAATGGCGCACCGGATAAATCTTACATCTGTAACCCGTAGGCCATGATTTGTCCATACGTCTACTTGATAGTATTAATAAAAAAATAGTTTACCTGAGGGGCAGATCCCTTGATTCTCGTTTTCGATCTTCGTTTTTTGAGTATGACAGACCCTAGACCAGTGCCCTCTGTCGATCTCGGCAGGAGGTCCGTAGGCCTTTCGGGTGGCGAATTGGAAGACTTTTTGGACTCGGTCTCGTTTGGTGATTGGGAACTCGAACCGCTGTCTGGTCCCAATCTTTTTAGAATCTCGGTTATCATTTCTTCGATACGATTGACTTTCTGATTCACCTTTTGAATTTCTAGTTTTACGTCTACCTGTAAAAATATTGACAATGTTATTAAGATTTAACAACTGAATTTGCCTACATTATATAAAAACAAAATTGAATTCGTTTTAATAAAATTTACGACTAGCTGCATACGCCAATCCATCAAGAACTTGTCACATTTAAATTTGTTACTCTATCCCGTTTTAAAGACAGTTTTTCCTCCTCTGATATTCATTTATTTTGAAATGAAAAGATTTTGTAATACATGTATCATAAAAGTATGCCTAGAACTATCCTTAGGGTTGGTAATAGAGCGCTCTCGGCTGTCTATGACGACAGGTCATGAATAAAGACAATCTACATCTTGACATTAAAGAACGAGTTTCATTTATGACCTAACACATCACAGATTTGATTTTAAATGAATTTAAACTCTCATATTTTGAAACAGTCATAATATTTGATATCTACTCATAAGATTGTTTGAAGTCAAAAAGCGAAAGGGCATAATACACCTCAAAATTGGCAACAATGAAATATGAATACATCTTTTAACTGCGGCGATAATAAAATACATACCAATCACAGCCGCATAGTAAGAACTTCTTGCAAAAGTTTTAGTTTTTAAACATTATCAAATAAGCTCTCGTCAAGTAACAACATATTTAAACCTAAATTATTTTTTTATTCTCAGTTTTAGAACTTTTAATAAAATTATGCACAACAAGCATTCGTAAACCAAATTAAATATTAAAATAATTGCGAAATATTCTTTTATGGTAAACGATGCCAGTTAATGTTGTTTGTGTTGAATAAAAAAGTGAAATAATACAATATTTATTCTGTATTTATAAGAAGACATCCGTGACGTCATCTCTATTTACAACAAATATACAGTCTACACATCTATCTATCTGAAAAATTAAGGTATGCTTCAAAGAATCCTTTTTCCAATTCCAAATTGGATAAAACTGTTAAATTTTAATCAAATGTAATTACACTTTCAAACGACTTTTGTCATATTTTATTAAAGCATTTTATAGTATACCTAAATCAAAAATTAGATTAGTATGGTGCTTTCTAATACAATGTTTTATGTAAATAAAATCGATTGATCATCGTTTATGAAAACTTTGGGGAAACTTTCAATGTAACAACGACAGGTCATATTTTTGTTGAAAAGAAATGAGCAAGATAATGTCTCTTTTTAAAGCTTTCTCCGATGAAAATATCGCTATTGAAACATTAAAAATTGTTGCAACTGGATGAATACTGAAACAATTCGCAAGCTTGCAATGTTCGAGATATACACAATGATAAATTAATAAAAAAGGAGAATTTGGTATATTAAATTACTAAGTACCCTTACCTATAGGGCAATAATGTTATATTCGTACCGACGAAAACATTTTCTTGTCCCCCTTTTTCAATACTTTTCTCCACGTTTTGGATCAATCTAATTGGAAAACTTTTAAAAGGTACGTAATTATTTTTTAATACTAATTAAGTTAGATTTGTTTCAGATAATAAAATATCTTCACTCAGACATTCTATTGGAATAGTTGTTATCTGTTATCTCTAAAAATCCGGAATTTCATCAAAGTTACAATTCATGATCGCAAAGATATCGTCCACGTATCCATGTTCATGACGTATTTTATTGTTTAAGTTATCAATAGGAATTAATATACAAATACTATTCAATTTTTTTTATTGTCGGTTGATCGGTCGCAGGTCTCGGAAGGTGAGGATGCTGAGAACCTCAACAACCAAGCTAAGCGTTGTTTCCACTCCTTCTTGAGAACTGTTTAAATAAATAAGTATTATAATATTATAACAAAACCTACTTTAAAATCCATGAGGTTAGTCATGAGCTCCTTATACTCTACGGGCGCGATAGCTTCTGGGACGGCTGTTTGATACATTGAGGCAATCGACGGGTCTCGCAAGCCGCAATCGTAGCTTTGCATCTTCCTTAACGACAAATTCCGCGAATGCGGCGGATCCACCTCCCCCATTTCGTCGATGGTGTCCTGTCTGATGATACCCGGACTGGACGCCGCCGAAACCTTTTGGAGCTTCGGGAAAATTTTGTTTCCGGAGCCCGGAGTGAGTTGGCTGCCGGAACTGCCGGATGATGATGAACTCGGACGTTCTTTGGGATCTTTGGCGCTCAGACTTCTGGTGAAAGCTTGTGGGGCCGTGGAGGTTTCTGAGCCAGAGTCTAAGCTGGCCGAGCCTAGTAGTCGTCCCCATTTGCTGGCTCTCGCTAAAACAACAGGAATTAAAATATATGAGCCGTTCAGTAGAAAAGTGGTATACATCAGTATTTTGGTTTTTAGTGGTGTTATATATTTTGTAAATATGTAGTATGATTTTAGTAACACCTGTAAATATAGGTTTATAAGGTTATTGTTCTCAACAATACTCCAGGCAGTAGCTGCCACGCTACTTGCGTTTCACCTACCTGTTCACCGTTTTAAAATAAGTATACTGTTTATTATTTCAATTACTATTGAAAAAAATATACTTTACTAAAATAAGAGAGAATAAAAGGTTAATTAAAAAGAAAGATAGGCAAAAATATAAAAAAGGATTTAGAAAATGTTACTATCAGTACACATGTAACTTCTGCAATAATAAATACACCTTCAAGGTATTTTATGTCATTACTCCATTAGTTTTGTAAAATTGGATCAACTTGTACGAGGAATAGTAATACAACTTAGTGAGTTATCCCACATATCCACTAAGTCTTGAAAAATGCTTAATATTATTTAATATATCATTGAAATCTTAATTTAAATATGAGACTGATAGGGTTAATTTGACAGGCGAAGTACTCGTTTATTACAAAATTTGTATATACAAGAGTTGCACGTTGCACTGTAACAATATTATACAGTAAATAAAAGAAATACTACGTAAAGTATTTCATGATTTGTCAACATATATGGACTGTTTTAGATCATTACTATTTAGATTAGGACTATTTAGATAAGGACTATTCAGATTAGGAATATTTAGATTAGGGGTATTTAGATAAGGACTATTTAGATTATAACTATTTATATTATGACTATTTAGATTAAGACTTTTTTTTATTAGGACTCTGTACTAGGACTATATATATATATTAGGACTATTTATATTAATACTATTAATATCAAGACTATTTAGACTAAGACTATTGTGTTACAAATATAAAAAATAAACCTCACGTGCATCTATAACCTCAATAAAATCGTAGAGAAAATGTCAATGTCAATAGTATTCGATAATTTATTGTAAGTGTTAGTGGCTCTATGTGTGATTTACGAAGAAAGTGTAACAATTTCTTGTATTATAAAAATCAAGAATAACAAATCGAATTAGCTTCATTATTTCAGCACAATCAATTCTGTTATTTAATTTTTTTGGATGAACATGACTCTGTTACTGACCTACTTTGGTAAAGTCTAATGAATTTCAAAATAAAACAGAGACTCTTTTATATATGAGGGAAACATTTCCTTTGATAATGTTCATGTTCCTTTCCTATATCAAAATTCATCAATTAATGAGAGCACTCTTTAGTAGAGCGTACTCTATAGATTTGGTGTACTTGTTATCTTTAAATTGTTTTAATAATAGATTTTTGATATTAAATTTAATAAATTCTCAATGACAGAACATGGATGATATTATACATATATCTAAATTTATAATAGTCTTTCTGCATATTAAAACAGATAGATAAAATCTCTAAATCAAGAAGGAAATTGTTTGAGTTTCTAGTTGAGTTAGAACCCTGTAAATTAATTAATATATGGACTCTTTCTGTACAATTTCTTGCTATAATATTTGTAATCTCTTTTTGTTGTTACATATTATTGACCCTATTTCGTTTTGTGTTAAGTTTGAGCTGACAGCCTCTCCGATGCATCTAACAGTAAATGGGTATCTCGGCACCTCCACAAATAAGAGTTCATTGGGAAATATTTTAGAACAATATGGCATTTACTCACAAAGACACTTACTTGCATCTATTGACTCTGGCAAAACTTGTCACATTTTTGATGGGATGGCAATAGTCCAAGGTTTGGGAAAGTCCAAAAGTTGTATATCATTTAAAGAATATGCTAATGTATTTGTAAACGTTATTTTTAGAAATAAATTTAATGCTTAAAGGATTGATGTGGTATATGATCATTATAAAGAACATTCTATCAAAAACTCGTCAAAAGAGAGGATCCCAGAAATCAATTGATATAGAAATTGACCGACCCAATACACCACTTCCGCAACAATGAAACTTGTTTATTTATTCGATATTTAACAATAGACGTTTAACAAATTTTCTGTCAGAGCAACTTCTTGAAAATTCCATTCAGCAAAAGCATATTTAATTTATAACTAGTGATGGATTCGCGAATATCAATAAATATGGGACGAATTTTGAAATATCAAAAGATGATTTCTTAAATTCAAATCATAAAGAAGCTGATACTCGTATCTTATTGCACATATTGTTAGCCAAAAATTCGGGGCATTCATGCTGCATTATTGATTGCAACGATACAGATGTTCTAGTCTTAAAAATTTATTTTAAGAAGTATTTGACTAAAGAGATATGGTTCAGAACAGGGCGAAGAGACTCAAGACGATTTCTAGCAGTACATGATTTAAATTTGGATGGTATCTTCTAAAAAATTTGCCTGCTTTTCTTTCTCTGACCGGTTATGATACAACCAGCCAATAGTCTGGCATTGGAAAAAGAAAACATATTCTCTAATCTTGAAAAATGTTTCATAAAAATTTATTCAAAAACTGCCAGTATTACTTCCATTAACATTTTGAGGGGATTAATGGCCTCTTTAAAAACCATTGCCACCGACTGAAGACGACCTAAGATAACATTGTTTAAGATGTTTTTACCAGCTAAATATTTGGCTAAGCTCTTTATTTTTATTTATTTAATAAAAAATGATAATTAAATGATAGTATTTTGTGAAAGTTCAATACATGTTTATAGGAAATGCGTACATTTTTTTTAAAGTATATCCGTTATTTTTTAATTTTCTTAGATAAATATTTACTTTATTGCCACTTTCCTTATATGTATTTAGGTAGTAACATAGAAATATCAGATAATTCCCAACTTTTATAATAATAATTATCAATTGAAGTTTTACACCAATGGAACGGTAAATCATCACAATTCTCATTACAGGTTAGAAAACTCAATTCCATACAATGCAAGTATGAATAGTGCGGGCATTTTTTGGTATGTTGAATGAGGCAAGTTATTTATATGACCTTCAAAACTATCTTCCTTGGCTTCTAAAAGATGTTCCTCTTGGCATCCGCACTACAATGGTCTGACAATAGGACGGTGTCCAACTACTTAATTACAGAACGGTCTCAAAATACTCGGATATAAAATTTTCCAACAAATAGATGTGAAACAAAAGGCCTTATAACTAAATCTTCACTGGGAACGAACCTAGATAGGAAGATGGCAGACACCACTCTTATTCATGCAGCCACTGTGGATACTAAACCAGATAAGCCTCAGTTCATACCACACCCCACTTTTAACCCTGGAACAGTAAATGTACATACATTCCTGAATACGTACGAACGGAGAGCTATTGAAAATGGATGGAACAATGGATTGAAAATAAATTATTTTGGGTCTTTTCTGGAAGGCGCATCTAACATATTGTTTCGAAGATATCAGGACGACGTTTTAAATGCACAAAAAACATGGGAGTTAGTAAAACAGGACTTTTCTAAGGAATTTGACAACGATGATTTTAAATGGAATGCAGAAATGAGGCTACTTAAGAGGAAGCAAAAATCAGGAGAGTCGATAAAATTATACTTCTATGAACTTCAATCTTTGTATTACGAATACGATAATACAGTGAACCATAAGGAATTTCGAAAATTTTTCGAAAATGGAATTGTGCCGAGCTTTATGGACCATATAGACTTCTCAGGGCATCAGAAATGACACTGGATAAATTTAAATATATTGTCATACGGCTAGAAGATATAGCCAATCACATGTCAATGGACGAAGGGTTAAGCATACAAAGGGGGATGAAAAATCTATCGCTGTTCACTCCACGAAGCCGACAAGCAGAAGAGCTTCATGTCTCCAGGGACATACCTTCAGAAAATTATTTTTCTCGAGAAAGAAATTACGGGAAAGTTACCAAAAAGAATATTATCCACAAGACGATTATGTGAGAGAAGGATATCCTTCCCCTCAAAGGCAAGTTGACGTGAGTTACAGCGAAAATGGAAACAGAAACCACTACCATCCAAATAATTATAGACCCTTCAATTCCCCCAAAGACGTTATGAAGAAAGAGGACGAGGTCCAGATAATGCAAGCAGGCAGGCAAACACGTATTACCCATCAACAAGAACAAGGGATGGCAGGCCAAAGTGTCATTACTGCCCAAAAATAGGACACTAAGCAGCTGTATGCTACCAAAGGCCTAATCAAGCTCCAAACGACCGCGGACAGAATCATTAGCCCACGGTTTCATCCTCGACACACAAGGGCCAATGCATAACCATAAATATGAGTTATTAACAGTTAATGTCGTCAGTTTTTAATTAATTTTAAGGCCATTATAGATTTAAGGACAAGAAAAATAAGTATTAATGCAGCAGCCAGATGTTAATAGAACTAAAACCAGGGTACAAATACAGAACGAAAAACCTAACTGGTTTCACAGTTCTACAGGGTGATACGACTTATAAAAAACTCTATTTTAAAGAATGTCTCCGGAACTTAGGGTCCACACTAAAGACCCTAGATGTAGTACTCTAATAACACAGAAAATATCACCAAAATATGTACTGAAGTTAATATAACAGTTACATCAAAGATTGAAAGTATGGGCGCACCAGTTACCCCTATACACAGAACACAAGGACAGACCTTCAAAAGTAATATAATTAGTATCCAAACAACAAGTACAGAAAATCTTCTTAAAAAAGGAGTAGAAAAAACCGAAACAACCCTTAACCTGAAAGAAAACCACAACGAAGGGAAAGACAAAGAATGAGATTTGCCTTGGGAGTACCCGAATCTGAAAGAAATTCACGAACTAGAGAAAATCCCTCTGAAGACCGACCTAGTCCTCAAACCCCAAGAAGAGACAACATTAGAGGTAACTTGAATAAAGGAAAATAAGACCGACTACCTAGAGATAAATGAAGATTTATTTATAAAGAAACGAGAAAAACTTTCACTCCCACTTCCACTCA